ATTTAAGAGCAAAGTGTGAAGCGAGACAGGAAAAAAAGGCCAATAAAGGATTAATATGCGGGCTCTGCTTTCAGCAGCTGCGACTCAGCCCCACCAGGAACACAGTGAGAGGTTTTGCAGTCTTAGGCCCATTGCCAGCCAGGACGCTGGAGGATGCTGGGGGGCGCCCCCAACTGGTTGAGAATCACCCCCAAGATGTCAGTTGTGGTTTCAGACTGCTAGAAGAATGCAGGCCACTCCATCTGCAGAACTGTCCACAATGATGTCCCGTGGACTACTGGACACAACATCCTTGAGGGTAACCCGAGATCATGCCCCAAACTGTGCGTTTATCTGCAGTGGTGCTTCTGCACAGCCATTCGCAAGGCATTTGTCAGTATTCTTGCAGTTCATCTTTCTCAGGGCAAAGCAAGTAGTTTATTGGAACACTCCCCTGGAAACTGAGATGGTAACATCTACAGCAGTTGTGTACCTGAAACCTGCAGGCGTGGCTTCTGGAAACAGCACGGGCCCACCTCTGCACGCTGTCTCTCATGGATGCAGCTCCTGTCACTCCAACATATTGATGCCCCTACCCAGATTCTACTACCCTTTCATATTTTTATGATAACCTAGGGACAGTTTTATGCATCTGTAATCCCAGTCAATAATAGGCTGAGGCAGGAGGATTCTAAGTTTGAGCCCAGCATGTGCAACATAGACTATATCTCAAAACAAAAATCAAATGAAAGGTCTGGGATGCAGCTAAGTGACGGAGTGCTTGCCCAGCATGGTGAAGCCGTAGGTTCAAACCCCAGTAGTGCAAAAACAAACAAATGAAGTCAAACCATTTAATTTACAATGGGTAGTTGTTCTTAGATTACATGGCACCTAGAAAAACTGGTTAAAAAATAATTGTTAGTGGATTTTATCATCTTTTGGTTTAATGTCAAAATGAAAACTTGTTTTGAGTTAAAATGCTGATAATAGGCACAGGGATAAGCGTCACACAGGTGTATGACGTGTGTTCATGTCGACTGGATCGTGTTGAGATTCTGTGTATATACACGACCATGTACATGTAGAGGTTGTGAACGGATTTTAGATTGAGCTCTCCAGACCCATACAAACACTTGGTGGATCATGCCTCTTCATTTGACAGTGACTGAGCTGCTGAGACAGCACACGCACACACACTGGACATAGTGTCAAACTGTAGGTCAAACTGATGCCTGAACTGACGACCATTTTTACTCCCAGTCTTGGGTACCTGGCTCCCCATTCTTGTCACTGAGCACTAAATGCCTCTGACTTCCGGCTGAGTAGCCACTTATCTAACCCTACTGAACAAGACGTCCATTTGTTTGTGGTAATCAGCTCCAAGGCCTTTGAAAGAGGCCTGCGCTCCATGTGCAACAAGTCAGCAAACCTGGCCGGTGATGGTTAGTGGGTCTGCAGAAAGGCTCGTCTCCAGGGCCGAGCAGCACACAGAGGCATCCCCTTGCATCACACAGGTTAGAGTCGGGCGTAGCGGGAGTGTCGGCACATGCACGGTGCACTACTAGAAGCGCAGTGCCACAGGTCTGCAACCTGCCCGCCTGCTCCTGCTGGTAGCTACTTACCAGGCATCACACAGTGGACCTTCTAGGAGCCACATAAAGAAAGCAGGACCTTTTAGCTAGGGTGGCTCTGATCCGGAAGGTAACCACTGATGGTCCGCCTCCACCTCTGGTGTGCACACATCCGCACCTTAGCTGGAGCGTTTGTTGGTGGTGCTGGGACTCTGCAGGCTCCCTCCTCCCGGAGGCCCAGCCCTGCGCAGGCTGGGTCTTGTCAGAAGCTGTGCTCACTTCCCAGCCTGTGGCACACAGCATGGAGGTCCTGTTTGCAGATGTCAAGTTTTGCCTGCCTCTATCTATCTCTTCATGGTCTTCTCATTTCTAAAGATGTCTGAGGTAGATGTGGTGGTTCACACCACAATTTCAGCACTCAGGGGGCTGGGGCAGAGGATCACTTCAAGTTCCAGGCCAGCACAGTGAGTTTAACTACACATAGTTCAGTGAGCCTGAACTATATGGGGGAACCCTGTCTCAAAAGCCATGCACAACACAACAAAAGTTTCAAAGATCACTGTACAAGTATACTGGCAAACTGTGAACAGACTGAAAGTCACAAGGGCACTTTAAAATGTCCATCTCCTCCAGAGCCCAGCCCTACAGCTCCAGACGGCAAGCACCCAGGGAGCCCTGCCATCCTTTGTTAACAGGGTTCAGTGTAATTTCCTTCTTGATGAAAGCGAGTGATTTGCTTTATTTTATACTCAGGATTATGAGATAAAAATACTCTGGCCTTTCCATTCTTAAGGAAAACAGGAAAAAGAGAAAATCAACACAGATCAAATTTCAATAGTCTTGAGGCATGAGAATCCAAAGGAGAAAAATCATTTCGGTATTTCCTTAGACCCGCTGGATTCAGAGACCTGCACTGTTAAGCCTGGGCCTTGGGTTCCATAGGTCTACAGGGCTCCCTTACAGTGCTGGTGCACGGAGCGCCCTGCAACGGCTGAGTTGCACCTTCACCAGCCAGGAAGATGACATAAGACAAAATAAACCAGTCTCAAACACACCCTGTCACTCTCCAAGCCTGATCAAATCTCAGCGAGGGTTTTTAAATACAGAGAAACTAGTAATGACTCAAAATGAGACAACAGAAAAGCAAGACAATGGCCAATTCATCATCAGAAATGGTTTTGTCCTTCAGCATTAGGTTCCACCCTGGCCTTCCGGCCCTGCTTCACTAGTGCCTGGAAAGGCAGCCCTGGAGACACACCTATAAGAAAGATGCAGAGAGATGCAAGAAAGCAGAAAGAGGAAGGGTGAGGCTGAGCAGCTGGTGAGCCAACTAACCAGCTCTCTTATTGCACCCAGAAAACAGGCTAGAAATCACTGTGATGAGGGCAGGCTTGGGTTCCAGGGGCTGAAAGTCAGATCAAAGGTTCCCTCTGGAGCAGTAGCTAGAGGTCATTTTCTCACCCTTGGCCAGGGGCCTTAGGATGATGAGGCTACAGAAAGACCTGGGTCCTCAGCTCCAGCCCAGGGTAGAGCCACAGGGAGGGGCGTGCTGGTTCTGGGTATGCCAGAAGACAAGCTGCCTGCCATGGCCATGATAGGAGTGTCCTAAATGACAACCCTCGTCCACACTATCCCTAAACAGTAAGGGAACCACTTACAGGACCAAAGGCTTGCCAACTCTTCTCTAATGCATCTGCATTACAGTACTTGAAAACACCTTCCTAGGCAAGGTCTGGGCTGGCAGTTGAAAAACCTGATCTTACACAGCAGGAGTAGGTTTTGCTTTTGCTATGGCTTTATATCCCATGGAAGTACCTATTTTCTAGAAAAACATATGCTATCTTTACTCTGCTTCATGAAATTCCTAGAGGAGAGTTAGTTTTTAGCAGACCTCAAGAACTGAGATGTTTCTAGAACCACAGAATAACAGACACCTGTGACAGGCCCTGGCCCCCACATGGGCTCCACTGTCTGTCGCAACTCAAGTGAGGACCCTTGTGAAGCCACACATCCACTGCTAGCCAGCAAGCCAGGGATTTTCCAACTCATCGAAGATGGCCTCAAGCTGCAGAGAGGTGACTCCTTGTGAGTCTTTACTGACCAGCTACAGCTCTAACAGCTGAGTAGAATCACAAGGAGGGCAAGGTGTTTTTAGAGGAAATCTGATCAACACTCCCACATTTTCATTATAAGGATCTGGCATTTCCAAATGCACACAGACGGGGAAAGGGGTGCATGTGCAAGTGTGTGTTTAGAAATTCACCTACTCTGGGAAATGCACGTGCTCTATGAGGTGTCTGGGGAAGAAGAAATGCCCTGTGATACAAGATATTCTGACAGGGACTTAGGCAACTGCAAGGGAAACAAAACTCAGGAATGAAGAATACTGTAGTACAAAATTATGGCCAAAAATACTGTATTTTTAACCAGCAAGATCATTGGGGGATTATTTATACAACATTAGGTGTTTGTTTTTTTTGCAAAACCAGTTCCCATCCCAAAACAATAGGCAATACATGCATTTGAATGACATTTTAAGAACAGTAAATATGATCATTTAAATACTGCAAGTTAAAAATGTTTTCTGACAGAACTTCCTAAGTACATAGGCCTACTCAGGGTCTCCAACACGATGACGGTGAGCAAACCGCAGAAAGTTGCCTTTAGAGTTGTTTGAGGGAAGGAAATCCACCAACAACGTGTTTCAATCAGTGTCACCTGGACAAAGATAACAGTAATCTTTTTTTTGCTAGCCCTAAATATATTCTACTGAAGAACACTTTTCTTTGTTATTTGTCCCTTTCTACCAAAAGCTTTTATGAAAGTCAAAATTTCTTTATCCAAGTTAAGATCCAAATTTATCCAATAGCTACTTTCAGAACACGTGAATGACACTAATTGCTGGGTTGGAATCATTCGGGGAAATGGAGGCCGTATGGAGATAAGGAAGGCGAGGAAGAAATTAGTATCTGAGCACCTACTGTGGACTAGGTGTGTATGCATACTTTGAACGTAGTTCTGAGGCTAGAGTTACCGAAAGGCAGGGGCAGTTGGAAAGAGAGCAGATGATTTGCTTCCTTATGAAAACAAATGCCAAGGTTAGGCTGCACTAAACAAAGTAGCTACTAATAACAGGTGTCTGGCTCCAAAAATCTCTAGCTAATCAAATACAACTAAGCCATTTCTTTTCCTAATATGATGGAACCAAAATGAAATCCCAAAGACACAGGTATCAGGACAGATCTACTAATGCTACAAATGTTGGAAATATGTAGGGAAAGAGAAGCATACAATCACCAGTTTCAATTTCTGTATGTGTTTCTAACCAAAGAATCTCTGTGGGAGAAAGTATGAATGTATGTACCACACATACCTTACTTGTATCAACTGAGATGATGTTAATGACCAATTAGGTAGTTTCAAACTTTCGGTTTAAGAAGCGCAGCAGTATACATTACAATCCTTGGGTACACTTTATTTTCATATGGGTTAACATTCTGCTATATTTCATTTCATTCATTCTTTTTGAGAAACTGAAAACAAAGGGAAACTGAGAATAACCAGAAGGCAATCTGAGGGAAATTTCCAACCAGTATCTGAGTCTTGCAATAGCTCATTATGCAGCCCTTTCTTCCCATTGTTATTTTTTACTTTTTTTTTTTTTTGCAAATAAAGTCATTTTGACCCAAATCCAGCATAAACAACTTTTTACCAATTCCTAACTTAAAACAACTAAACTTTACAATCATGTGGCAGTATAAATTTTTAAATTACAGTTCATACACCTTGACAATCATGATAGTCTGAAGTACAAAAAGTAAATTGCCCTTTAGCTCAATTTCCTTTTTAAATATGAAGTCTTGCTAGTTAATCTACCCCCAAAAAGTTTCAGATGTTCTTCAAATACCTTTTGTAAATGTTATCTGTTAGTAAACAACATACGCAGGTTCCTAAATTTTGTTTTCAGTCTACTCATGACATTCCGCAGAGCTTTTTATATGTCAACATTAAGAAAAAAATTATAAAACACAACCCTAATAAACAAAACCCCACAAGTTCTAGGGGACTTACTTCTGAGTGGGCATATTATTTCCCTTTGTTTCATATATGAGGCACAAACTTCTGAATTTAAGCTCTGTAAGGCATAGTAGAAACCTCCAATTTACAAATCAGGAATTCTCTGTGGGTTGGAACTGCCCCATCACACAAAAAAGGGGGAAAATCATCTGTAAACCGGTACACTGCAGTGTGTTCATGGAGTCACGAACGGCTGCCTGCCTTGGTGTGCTGAAGAAAGGCTGCCGTGCTTTGTGTTTTGAGTAAGACATGCCCAAGTCACCATCAACCTCGCCCACAAGCCTCCATACCCAGAGCATCAATGACCGGAGTCCAGCAGCACTTAGAACGCTTGCAATCACAATAGAAGAGAAAACATGAGTAAACTTTGTTTTTATACAAAACTGAAAAGAATCCCTTCCCGCCCCTCACCCCTTTGATAAAACCCCAAAGAAACAACAAAAATCCTTTAGCTTTGACTGACTAATGTGGATACGATTAGGTTTCAACGCATCACTGCAGCTAGGGTGATCAATTTTTTCCTTTCTCAAAAGAAGGGATCCTGTCATGCACCCCAGGAGGAGCAGTGAAGCCACAAACCTCAATTCTGCATAGCAAATTCCATCCCAATTTCATGAAGACAAATATAACAATCTTTCCCTGTTTTGCTCAGCTTCTATGAGCTTTGAGATCAGGTTTAATCAACTACATCTACTATATCTCTATTAAATAGAATATCTTGATTCCCTAAAACTTTAACACTTATGATCTTGTGATGAGGTTTTTTTTCTATACACACTGTAGGCCATCAAATGTTCTTTACTTTTTTTCTTTTTTCTTTTTTTTTTTGTTTGTTTTGTTTTTTTGTTTTTGCTGCACCAAATTTAAGATCGCCCTTTCAGGCAAGCAGTGGTCTCTAGCTGTTAAAACATCTCCTTAGTGGATCACAATAGCTTCTAAAACTGCCTTTCTAATAAAGGCCATCAGAGAGGTAATACTAAACTGCATTTGCCAAATAAGAATATGAATTGTATAAAAGCTCATATTCCAATCCTAGATCAAATGGCAAAAGTTCTACAAAGTTGGTTTCCATGTTTGTATAAAAGCTCCAACTGATTTTATGTATTTGCTATGAAATTACCTTTGGGTCTTATAATCAGTACACCTCTACTCAGGAATGTGCAAACGATTTTATACAGCACGATGCTAGTACCGCTCTGTATGATAGGAAGGTTTTTTTTCTTCTTTTCTAAATGGAAAAAAATATCCCTAGTCAGAAATAAACTGACAAATTTACATTCTCCTCTCTTAAAAAAGTAAATAAAATAACATTATTCAAAATGTGAATTAGCTATAAGACATACAATACAATTACATAGATACATATCAATACAGCACATTCAATTTGCCCAAAAATTAATGATTACAAAGCCAATATGGATGCTGCAATATCAAGAGAGATGTATGTACAATGATTAGAGCATTCATAATTGCACTACACCTACAGGCAGGATGTTTTGTTAATTAAATTACAGGTGCTTTTCTGAGCAAGAAACAAACAGTAACTTAGGTGTTCTGAGACAAGGAGAGTGAAAAATATGAACATTTCATTACCAGTGAGTAACTCTAGTACTCACCTAATAAATTGTTGATTTTCTCTCCCCCCTTTGTTACTCCAAAAAATGTGATGAATACAGAAGTTTAGACTAGTGCCAAATAGTATCAAGACCAGCATCATGGCCTAATTCTAGCTTCTCAGCAGCTTAACAATCATGATTTATTTTCTTAAACCATATTTCAACTTATGTGCTTAATAGAAGCTTATCAACACATGTGCTGCTTTGTTTTTTTTTTTTTTTTTTTTTTTTTTGCATTTGCTGAAAAATTGCACATCTAAAATTCCAAGCATCTCTCCTAGGAGATTCAGTCACATAAATACATGTTCAACAGAACACTGAACGGGCACATGTGAATTAAGTCCACAAATTTTTCTCATGTTCAACTTAACCATGTTCAACTCAGGAAGATCCTGAATATGATAAACTAGTGGTCACTTTTTTGTTTTGTTGGTTTTTTTGCAAATTAAAGGTATCAGGGTAATACTATCAATTGATGTTCTTGGCAAACTTACTTGAAGTTAACAAAAAGAGTACGTAAAACTGGCTTCAAACACACAGACATAAGCAGATTCTGTGATAAACCACAAAGGATGCTTTTCTACACTGCTGATTTGGACAGTCGACCGGGGACATGGACAATAAACAATTCAATCTTAAGGGCAGGGAAAAGAATGGACTGAGAGAGTCAATTTACAGTTACCAGCTGTTTGGCAATTGGCGTTTCAGGTTCGTTCTCAGCCAGTCACTTTAGGGTTCACAGTCTCACTCTCTTGTTTTTTAAGAGGCTGGCTTTCATTAAGCTCTTTTAAATCTATTTTGAAAAAAGGTCAGTTTTGGCAGCACATACCATAATGAAAATCATTTTAAAATTGTGGCCTAAACACAAAGGAGAAAAAGAGGAAAGAAAAAGTCGGAACTAAAAAAATAAGAACAACCTCTAAAAAGAACCAGGATAGCAGCCATTGGGGGAATGTAGTGTTTGTTGGCATATTTTTGGCATCTGCAATTTAGAGAGAGTTAAAGAAAAAAAAGAGAAAACAGAAAAAAAAAAAAAAAAAAAAAAAAAAAGCAAGAAAGGGAGGAAGGAGAATGGCACATGGATTTCAAAAGAAAGGATTCCCACTGTGTACATCTGCCCAGTCCGATTTCTGAGCATTGTTCTGGGCATTCAAGCTACGGCAAAAGTCAAAACACAGCAGAAACGACGCTTAACCATCCCGTGGGCACCCGCTGTCCCAGTCCAAAGTGAGACAAGACTGTATCTATATATGAAAAGAAACACTGCGTGTGCATGGAGCATAGCACAAAACCACAGCAGTGACGCAGATAACCCTTCAGCAAATACTACACATTGTTAAATTAAGCTGATGTACGATGGCTTATGTCGAATGACAATGTCTTATCATTCGAGAGAAAAACTTGACCAAGAATGGAGCTAGAATAGAGGTGGTTGTAACCTGGGGGGGAAATTCAGGAAAAAGATGGATTAGGAAAAGAGGGAAATCAGCTCTTTTCTTCTCAATAGAAAAAGGAGAGAGGAGAAAGAGAGAAAAAGAGAGAAGAGGAAGGGAGGGAAAGGGCTGGGGAGAGAGACACTGACTTATCTTTCTGAGCGCATGACTGAGAATGGAAAATGGATCCAGTCACAAGGTTTTGCCTAAAAAAAAAAGAGAGGAAATGTGCTGGGACTGTACTTCAGCATCCTCTGTTTTTCCTCGGAATAGTTTAAATAAAATCATAATATTTACTACAAACTCTGTGGATACACTCACAGAGTCCAGGACGGCAATAAATAGTAGTATGCGAATTGTTTTCCACAGAAATACAGTCCCTCGTGAAGGTCTTCAGCAGCCCACCGGGGAGGGGCTGGGCCCCGAGGCCACTCAGACCAGGTTGTACTCTTTCAGGTTCAGCTGCAGGATGGTGTCCTTGACAGCTGCAAAGACAAAGCGGATGTTCTCGGTGTCGGTGGCGCACGTGAAGTGGGAGTAGATAATTTTGTCACTGTCTGGGTTCAGGTCCACGAACATCTTCAGGATGAACTCTCGAGCTGCCTGCGCGTCTCTCTGGGGTCCTATTTGTCAAAGGAAAAGAAGGAGCTGGTCAGCTCATCCGTGAATGCATCTGTTCATCATTCACTCCATAAACATTTATCGGGTCATTCTCAGGAAGGCTACCTACAGATTTTTATAATCATGTTTCCTAACACTACTGCCCGTAATTTCTTGGTCATTTTAGCTTACAGTCAGTTCACCAATAAGATATGGATAAGTGCGAACTGAGACAGCTTGAAGGCCAAGCTAAGCCTTTTTCTTTATTCCATTTCCTTGGTGGAGAGAGGTCTCCAGGCTGTTCAGAAGGGGAGTGATGGCTCATTTCTGTTCCACTGGAGGAAGTGCTCCAGCTATATAAAAAACATGCTGCCTCTGGCTGTCTTATCAATCTGGCCCCAAGGGTCCCCTGATACGGACCACTTTACATTCAACAGAGTCCAGCTCAAAGTGGAACGTTTGTCCTTTGGGTCTGGGCCATCTGCAGTAGCCTTCAGTAGTCTCCCTGGGTTGACTTCTAGTGTTCCTGAGCATTCTATATTTACATAACACTCAGTTTACTACATGACTATGAAAAAACTTGGTTTGCATTTTCTTCCATTTATTTGGGGTCTCTTATGTTCTAAGCAGTGTCCTAGATGCTTTGGTATAAGGACTGTGATATATTTATCAGGATAAATTAGACATAATAGCTTTGCAGTGTTAACTCTTAAGATATGACACTGAAGCAGAAACAACAGAAGAAAAGCACATGTAAACTGGACTTTAGCAAGACTGATAACTTCTGTGCATCAAACAAGATTGTTAAGCAAACAAAAAGACAACCTACAGAGTAGAGAAAAATATTTTCAAATCTCACATACATGAAGGATTTAGCATCTAGAATATAAAGAACTCCAACAACTCAACAAAAAGGCAAACAATTTGATTGAAAAAGTGAACCAAAGAGCTGAGATACAGATCAGCAGTAGACAGAACACCTGTCTACCTGGGTTTGACTTCAGTTCAACCCTTGATTGTATAAGTGAATGAATGAATGAACAATCCATCAAACAAAAGGTCTATATAGACATTTCTTCAAAACAAGATCCACAAATGATCAATTAACATGTGAAAAAAACACTCAACTCTGTCATTCATTTAGGGAAATGCCAACTAAAATTGTAAGACATCTTTTCACCTCCTAGAATGGCGGTATGTTTTAAAAAATAGTAATTACCTACTGGTAAGGATATGAAGGAGTTTGCACCCTCTGGTACCCATGTACAATGGTGCAGCCACTGTAGAAAAGAGTTTGCAGAAAACTTTTCCTTAAAAAGCTAAATAAAAAATTCCCATGTGACCCAGCAATTCTGCCCCTTGGTCAGTAGCCAAAGGATTCGTGAGCAGGGGCTCCCACTGGTCAGTGTCACTGCAGCATTAGTCACAACAGCCAGGAAGTGGACACAACCGAGAGCCCATCTGCTGGTGGGCAGTTGAGCAGAGGTGGCACAGCCTTCGAGCAAACAGCCCCAGAGAGGAAGGAAGCTCTGACAGTGCTGCAAGGTGCAGGAACCTTGGAAACAGGTGAGTAAAATACACCAGCTGTGAAGCGACAGCGTGTAATTCCTCCTGCAGCGGAGTGACAGTTACCAGGGCCAAGGGGCAAACAGTGCTGTGTCTGTCTGCTCAGTTGGGGTGGTGAAAAGCCTTGGCAATACTGTGATGGCAGCACATTATTACAATTAATGTCATGGGTCAAAACGGTTATGATGCCATAGTTGGGATACCTGTAACTTCGAGAACTCCGCGGAGAGCACGCTACCACTTTTAACTATGAAATGCACTCTGATTTCCAGACAGCCAACCTGAAAACTTTCCAAGTGACCTCAGTGTTAACTGGGCTCATTCGTATGAACTTATGCCCAACACTGCCAAAACTCAGAAGCAAACAGCTGTGAAAACAAATTAATACACGTACCATTTGACCTTTTGACTTAGGTGTCCATAATTGAAATTTCTGACAGCAACTGAAAAGTCTGGCATCATATTAAATAAAAGCATACTAGTTAAAAAAACATTTTATATAATTGTTAACATTTTTGTAATAGGAAAGAGACCAAGCAATGGAGGAAGGAGATAGAAACAGAAAGTAAGAATTAAGGCGCCCATATGAGCCAATTCCTGGTGATGAATGCAATCACTGTACACTACAGACCTGTACTAGTAACAATTAAAAATTAGATATCTAAATATTTAATGTCCTACATTTTTCAATTACTGTTTAACTTCCTAACTCCAGAGTAATACTAAAAATATTTAAAACCAGAGAGTAATAGATTGTAGAGCAGAAGCCTCTCCTTTTCATAAAATTCTGTATTACATCTGGCTTGTGACTGCTCTGTGTAAGTCTGTTTGGGAAGGAGGGGACCACAACTGTTTTTCTTTTTTCTTTACTCAAAGAATATCAGAACCAGATTCAAGTTGACTGCAGTAACTTAGAGTATATTATGTTTGTAAGCATAAACTACAAAGGAAACATTCTATCCATCATAGTAGGAACAGAAATCCATAGTCTCTATGAACAATTTTGCAATTCAGGTCCATGTAGAATGGTAACTCCCCATCCCGAACAGAACAACAGAAATGGTATTCATTATGAGTAAGACTGTGTAAAAGTAGAAATGTGTAAGTGTGAAGTTTATAATACTGTAAGCATTCTTATTACAGAGACCTCACTGGAAAGGGGACCTCGATCTTTCTGGCCTTAGCTCATCTTATGAGGGCTTCTGGGTCTCAGGAATTACAGCAGCATCTGCTTTGAGAATAAAAAGATCAGTGTTTCTTTTCTCTGGTGGCCACATTTCCACGGGCAGTATGTGTATGCTGTGGGAGGTTAACAGCAGAAACATCTTTGGCTATCAAAACATTCACAAAAGGCACATACTGGAAAGCAAATGCTCATAGTTGATAGGGAATCTGGGGAAATTATGAGACTAAGATTTTTTAAAGAGATGATGAAAATGTTTCAGAGAGAGACAGCTCTATAAGCGCTCAACAAAGAAAAGTGTTTTGTTTTTGCAGAACAGTTCACTGCCCTGCGGCGTAGTCCAGTTGCTGTGGCTGGAGTCTGAGGGTGTGTCTCAAGCCTTGTGGGCAGGCAGCGTGACCTGTCCTTATGCAAGCTTATTAGGAAAGTGAGCTGGTCCTGGGGGCGTGGAATGGGGTGCATCCTGTGCCATTTTCTGCCCACTGATTCTCACCTAACGCTGAGAAAAATTAAGTCTGCTTCCCCTGTGTATTACTCAGGGAGATCTTGGATAAAAGAACCAGCCTGTGGTGGATGGCAAGGAGACTAACAGTAAGTTACTCTGCCCAGTTTGCTCGTGGAGGCATTTACAGCTTGTCTCCAGGATGGTGGTGAAATAAAGGATTTTAAAGAAAAAGCTATTTGGGGGCTGGGGGTTTGGCTCAGCAGCATAAGCGCCTGCCTTGAAAGCAGGCAGTTGTGAGTTCAATCCCCAGTACCGGTAAAAAGGAAAAAAGACAAAAAAAAAAAAAAAAAAAAAAAAAAAAAGAAAGAAAAAGAAAAGGAAAAGCTATTTACAGTCAGAATGTTATTTGTTTTTAATTTTATTTATTTGTACCAGAAATCAAACTCAAGACCTCACACTTGCCAAGCAGGTGCTGTGCCACTGAGCTGTATCTCAGCCCCATTTGTTGTTTTGTCTTATTGTTTTAAAAAGCAAAGCACAGAAGAAAATTTACTTGGAGAGAGAATGCAGACATACTGCTAACAAAAAAGGGCATTCTTTCTGCACAGTGTACATATTTTGATTCACCAGCTTTCAGATCCTTGTATGTATCTGAGATGGGAACCGGAGTGTGTTAAACAACCAATACTTATCTTCCATGGATCAGCACCATATCCCACGCATGTGGGGCAAAAGGATGATTAAACTCCATCCCTAATGTGTTTGTGTCTTTACAGAAGTTCTCCTTAGTTTATAAGGGATCATTTCCCCAGGAGCTGGTGGAAGTACAGAAACACCACGGAACTGATACCCCTCTGGACATTCTCATTTTAAATACAGTCTATTACTGCCGCAACACATAACCCTGCAGTAAGGACTTCTGGGTTTGGCTCTTACGTGGGCCATGTACTATGCTAAGTGATTTCCCATATGATTCTATTCCATCATTTTTTACTCCGGAAGAGAGGACAAGTTTAATAAACTGATCCAAAGCAGTATGACCACTGAGAAGCACTGCTAGAACTCTAAGACTTTCAAAGTGCACGCTTTTAATTACGGCCTGAGCCAGGGGTCAGCTAACTTGCTCTGTAAAGGGCCAGAGACTAAATATTTTAGGCTTTGCAGATCACTGCCTGTCACAATTGCCCACTTTTGCTGTGACAGTGTAACAGCAGCCCTATCAATGGGTGTGGTCATTTTCTCAAAACCCTTTATTTACAGAAACAGCAGCAGGCCAGTGGCTGTGGCTCACTTGTATTAGGGAGGCTGGAAGTGGCTGTACCTAATCAACAAGCACATCTAAGAGTGGCTGGGTGTCCAGCTGCTGGGAATTTCATGGCCTACTTAGGAAAGGCAAGATCTCTTTCTAAGGATGAAGTGAGCAAAGCAAAGCCACAGGAGGAATGAAGTGAGTACGGCAGGTTGCTAAGAACCACAGGGCTTTACTGGGCCACGAAGTCCCTGAAAGTGTTTTCTAGATTTTCACTATGTATCAGGCATTATGTGAAATATTATACGCATGTTATTTATTAGTCTACAAAACAATCCCATGAGTTTGGTCCAAAGGCCCAGAAAAATCAAATGGTTTTGATTATAATTCTACAAACAGGAAGGGTCAGAACTGACTTCAGAGATGAGTTCCTGGACACAAAACCGCTCTCTCCCCAGACACAGGGGGGCTGCAACAAAATGAAAGAGAGAGAGAGAGGAAACTGTGATGGCTGCCACAAATGGTCAGCATCCTGGGTTATTCCTTCCTCTGATCTGCTTATTTAAGAACACATGAAACATTTTCTTTCTTTGTAACTTTAACAGCAGGACATAAAATGCTTGGGTCATTATAGGGCAGAGCGGGCAGTAGCTGCATCTCACGGTCACAGCCTGGGTGCTGCATGTGAGGACTCTTCACAGTGGCCACGCCCAGCCCTGCCACTGCCACTCACCATCATACTCTGGAAAGTAGTCCACTAGGTGGGAATACATGATTTTCTCCTCCAGCAGATCCTTCTTATTTAAGAACAGAATAACTGAGGAGTTCTGGAACCAGGGATATGTGATAATAGTTCTGAAGAGGGCTTTGCTTTCCTCCATTCGGTTCTGAAAAAAACAAGTCAGAAAAAAAAAGGATTAATTATGTGATCATTCGATCTGTGAGTTGTGTGTATTTCAATAGGGGTGACCGATCTTCTGGATGCTTTCAATTTTTAACAGCTTTGAAGTGGGCTTGTAACGACCTACATGCAATTGAGTTGTGATACACATTGGCCCTTTTCATTATGCAAACTCTGGTTGACGAGCACAAGAAAATAATAACAAATATCTGCTTAAATCACTTTTCAGGATGAAAGAGAAAATAAAACTTAGACAATCAGGTGGTATCTAATATAATGTCATAAATGTCTACCAAAAACTATTTACTCATGACCAAATACTTAAGATTTGAATTAAGAACTAAATGTCACACTTAATTTGCATTTCCAAAAATGTATTTACTTAGAACCTCATAATGAACTGTTTTAAACATTCAAAAGCAAAGTTACTTAATTCTTTGTCCAAAGCACATCTATACTTCTAGAATTACTACTACTAGACAGAAAAACGTATGCCTTGATAAGCAAACACATGTTCCATCAGTGGACATATTCTCTCCAGGTTTCATGATGATGTTCATACATTATGTATAACCTTGGAGACATACATGTAATCACCTAGAGATCCAAGGCTAGTATGTCTGTCAATGCTGACGTGGAAGTGCTCCTACCTGAGACCGTACTTTCAAACCTACTCAGTAACAGAACTCCTAAACAGGTTCTCAAGGAAATGAGTCGGTTGCCTTACATGCATCGAGATGCTAATGGAGGCTACTCCTAAGGAAAATCACTCCTCGCAGCTATCACTGTCCAGAAGCCTCTTCCCTATCTCTTTACCAGACACTCTTTCTCCTCAAAATCCTCCCACTCCCGCCCCTGAGGGGTGACTCTGCTGGCTAAGCCAGAGCATCAAGTTCCCTGCCATGTGAGCTGGTCCACAACTAGTCTGTGACCCGGGCCTCCTGGATGATGGTGACTGATTTAGCCAAGTGCTGCATTGGGCCAGGCAACCCTAGGACTTTTGCTGGGAACCCTGGGGCAGGAACCCTTGCTTTCACTTCGAGTGTGGAATCATAGCCATCACAGCTGCCTCTTGCGGCACCTGTGCAGGGATGGAGGGGGGCCTGTCCTCTTTACCATGTTCTAACTGCCTGCATTGGCCCTGCCTCTGGATTTCTCAGCATCATCGGCCAATAAGTACATTTCATTTTTTAGGCTGGTTTATATTTTAAGCTAGTTTGTGCTGTGTTCTTCTGGTGATTCATGTAGATAATACTTCCAGTGGCAATCACTGGACACATTCCATTTGGCTTGCAACAAGAAAGGAACGAAGGGGTCTGTAGGTGACCACTGAGGCTGGGGGCTTGAGCTGTTTCTGGCTCTGTAGGATGTACTCCCACCCAGGACTGGTTAGCACTATCTGCAGGGAGCTCTCCACCACACAGGACTTTCTCAATCCTGACTAGGCCATGCTCTTTTTCGTTTTTTAAAGTGCGCTGATTAGAATAAAATTGAAAAGGAACACTTTTCAAAGCAGAACTGTACCAGAGTTAGGTAAAATTGCTTCTCACCAGTTTATTCAACCTTCATTTTTGTGCCTCTAGTTGTTTCATGCTGATGAAATATGCAGGTTATGAAAAGTTATTACATAGCTCAAGTAACAGAGTTCATACAATTTTACTCAAGTGCATGTCCAGCCTTCAAACACGTCTCTACTAACCACATGCCTTTTGTTGGTTACCACAGTCAACAGTAAAATTTTAAACCCTGCAAATGATACTCTCTGAGAAATGAGCTCTTGTAGCTTTACATTTTATTTGAGGCTAAAGATTTTAACCCTGAAGGAAAACCCTCTCCTAAATGGATTAGACAGTGATACCACTATGGGAGAGGTAGCGTTTGTTTTTTCTTATTGCTGGCAAGTCTAGAAAGCTATGTGACGATGGTAGGGACGTCCACCTTGGTGTCCACAGTGCATCTCCATCAGAAGGAAATCATTACCCTCAGTATTCTCTGAGAGGGTGGAAGGGCTCCGAGGGGACAAAGGGCCCTCCCTGGCCTTATTCTGGCTGGAATCCGTCAAGGTGACTCACAGGGCAGGGAGAGGAAGGGACAGGGGTCCTGACTTTGAATCAACATAGAACTTTGTCTTTGATCAAAAGTTCAAGACTGGAGGGCTGGGGATATAGCTCAGCAACACTGTGCCTGCCTGGCAAGTGTGAGATCATGAGTTCGATACCTGGTACCACAAAAAAAAAAAAAAAAAAAAAAAAAAAAAGGTTTCAAGACTGGGCTGCAGTCTCTCTGCTTGAATGTAGTCTGCCAAGAGGGAGCACTGGACCAGGGTGCAGCATAGGGGCTACAAGTCTCTCCTGGGCCCAGAACCATGTAGCAAAGGCGACCTGCCTAGAAACTGCTATCTGTAACCAGAGCTGCGTTGGTTGAAACCACTCTGGGCACAGAGGCTGCTCACTCACTGGGGTGTCTCCCGGAAGCCTGGCTGGTATGCAGGTTAGGGCTGTTCACAGTGTGCTGGGGGATCGTGGCTTCACTTGTGAGTTCAGGGGAAGCCGAGGAGTAAGGGGCAGCTGTTGGGCAGCATGGCCATCCCTAGGCTTGCGACCAGCTCCACCAGTGGAGCCTGTGAGGGCCTTCTGGCCCCTTAATCGGATACTGCTGGGCTTTCCGAAGCCACCTGGGCATCTTATCAAACCGAGGGTCCCTGTCCTGTAGCACTGAGCAGGCTGGACGTCTGCCTTTCCATGAGGCTACCAGGTGTGGCATCTCTGAAGTGGAAGGTATAGAGTCAGCAAAAAAGAGGACGGGTCACTCTGCCCTGTTTTCATAATAAGAACAGCAAGGAGCTATGTCCCCGAGGTCTCAGTAATAAATTCTTACCATGCCAGCTTTGTTCTTTCCCAGTTTTCCATTTTATGACTCTTCCTTTATCTTACTGGTGCTGTACTCTTGAGGTGAAAATTCCTTATGCTCCCCTACTCCACGATGTGGCAATATTTAAAAACAGAAACTCTGCACCAAAAGCCCTGGGCAAAATCCTAAATGGACTGGGAGTTTTACAGTGTCCTACAGGGGCAAAGAATGTAAAAGGCGCGAGGTGTAGACTTGAACGCCATGGTTGAACCGTTTCAGAAGACTTGGTGGCGCCTGCTTTTAACCTGCCATGGCATGAGGTTTTGAGGAGGAAAACAAAAGAGAAATGTAGGAGACAGGTGTGTGTCAAATGCTAAGGAGAAACAAGCCTGAAAAACCAGGGATCTTTCTTCTCATAGCGTTTTTTTTTTTTTTTTTTTTAATTTAAGAGGAAAAAGAGAAAAACACAAAACAAAACAAAGCAGTGTAAGGTTACACATAATACAGAACTACAAAAAAAAACATAACAGTAAGAAATCACCTATTAATAGATTACATATTATCATATTGGAAATAGTTGCTCAAATCACAGTATCAAAGAATACAAAGTAGACATTCAAACAGAGAGACTGCAAACAGCTGTGTTCAATGATCCAAAAACATTAACATAGTCAACTATTTAACACCCCTAAACACACTTGCTGTTATATCCGTTAGAGCTCTTTTTTTTTTCCTCCCTCTCTTTTTTACAACAAAATTTACACATTTTGGATTTTATTACTCCTTAGTTCTTATTACTTTTTTTGGGCTGGAAATAAGTGAATCAAACAGGACAGCGGCACAGGAGTTTACTCTCCCAGACACAGGGCCCTTGCTCACAGGGCCATGGAGGCTCGAAGCTTTCGTCACTCCACCTGCCCCTCTGGGAGCCCAGGGAAAGGAGGCCCAGGCCACAGGTTGGGGTGGGCCACCCCTCCAGGGGCTGGAGACAGTACAGGAGCAGGGTGAACTGGGATGCGCTAGGCTATGTCAAAACCATCAAACAGACCTATTCCGGCCATATGTGGAAGTTCTTACACCTGTGATTTTATCATTGCGAATTGGTTCTCAAGAGCTTGACTTTCCAAACAGTGCTGCACTCCAATGCAGTCTGCTGCTCATGCATGACTGGCTAATGCTTTCATCTACAAGGTAAAGCCCTGGGCTCTGCAGCTTGGCATGGCTGATCCCATGCTGTGTTTTCAGTCTGAGCTGTTGTACCAATGCTTTCTCCAGATGCTCAGAGTCACAGCATCACAGTGTGACTCTGGGCCACAATGCTGTCTCCCCTGTCCTCATCCTTTAAGGTCCATGTCAACTGGACTTCCCCACTTGACCTGAGTGCTCTGAGCCCCGAGGTCTGCCTCTTCCTCCCATCTCTGCAGCTGGGTGCCATTCCTGCTCTGCCTACCAGTCAGTGGCACACAGGGCACATCTGCTGGATGCTGGCAGGGCACGAGGGAGAGAGAAGAGGCACATTGGTGTAGACCGCAGGTCCACATGGTAGGCCAGCAGCTGATGGAAAGAGCAATGTGAGGTCCACTGGAAGGAAAGGTGTGGGTGGGTTAGGGAAGGCAGAAAAGCAACGACAGTTTTTAGTGGAATTCTGAGACTCTAAGGAACAAAACCAAAAGCAAGGCAAAGGAAAATTCAAATCTACAACCTTTGAAATCCTAAATGATTTACAAGGGCTTCTGATGTCTGGAGCTTGTACATTAAATAAGAAAATCCTATGTGCTGAGAAAGGGAAATATTTCCTCCTCATTTGCATTGTATGGTGGGGGCCAGAGATGACACGGACATGCTAAGTTTCATGTGCCCAGCTTCTGCAGCTCCTAAAATAACCTCAATTTGCACTGCCTGCGTGCCAAAGCTAGGATGCAGGCAAGTCCACCAAAAAGCCCTGCGACCCTGCAGGAGGGCACACTGAGTGCCATGATTTGCCCTCCTCCTGGCTCAGGTGCAAATGGCCCTATCTCTGCAGAAACAATTACCAAATGGGTCTAACGGGGCCCTTATATTTTCGGCCTAATTTTTTACATTTATATGTTTTTGTAGGCTCTATGCCATTGTGATCTAAAGTTTGCTTGTTGAGTG